GTAAATTCCTTGAAATTAAATAGTTATCTACATAATTGGATAGGAATACCATTTAAGCAAAATGTCTCTGCGTGTACGCGTTTCTTCTTACAATTTACGGTATAATTGTAATGAGAATGTAGCTTTTTAGAGTTACGGACAGCAATAATCTCTATAGCGATAATTTATAATTATTTCTATCCGAGTAAAAAAACTCGTTATAATTTTTATCATCATAAACTATGACAATATCTTTTGTATGATCCAATAGAAATAAAAATAGAAAGAAAAGAATGTATATATATTTTCTAAGCAATATTACATATGTATATCAATTACTGTATGTATGTAATGTATATTACTGTATGTAATGTATATAAATAAAACTAGAGAGAGAAGAAAAATTTCATTTCGAATCCCGATCAAAAGGACGATCTTTCTTCGTAGTTCCTTTTAAAAAACTCTCAAGTCTCTCAAGCTACTATAAATTAGACGTGAGCCTTTATCTTTACTTATTTTTGCTAAACTGTTTTACCAAAAGAAGATAAAGAAAAAGGAGAAAGAGGGACGCGCACAAGTATAAATGATCGCGCGCCACTTATTGCGCCGAATGGCGCCATATTGCGACATGCTAATGAATTTTTTCCTCGGGCGGCAGGAGTAAAAAAAAGATTAATTCACCGCGGACGCCTCCTTCCGCGGGAGGCGGATGGAGACGCGCACGCGGGAGAAAGATATTAAAAATTAATCCTCTCAGCCGTTAAGGGCTCCGGGGTTGTTCGGGGGCGACAAGTGGTCGTAATGAACGCTCTAATGAACATGCACAACGAGCGCGACCTCGTTAAGCCACGTGGACGGCCGATCGTTAACACGTGGCCTCTTTTTTTTTAACTGTTACTTAGGCTCCGGCTACCGAACAGAAAAGAAGGCAAGGAGGGGGAGGATGGGGTCATACAGGACCGATATGTTGAGGAAATGGAGTGAAGAGGCATTTCGCCCCTCAGCGCCCTTCAAGCCGAGCTTCCGCAGCTCGGTGATTAAAGTCAAGCTGAAGACTCCTGGCAAAAATTCCGTAGGAAATTCTGAAGAGCCTCGAGAGATTTGTGAGCGAGGTCTCTCTTTCTCTCTTTCTCTCTTCTTCTTTCCTCTTCGCTCTAAATCATCCGAGCGAAAATTTTCACGGGGATCATAAGAGCGCGAAGTTATTAGTTCCTAGCACGTGAAGCGTCAAACGCACGAAATTTAAACGCGGATGGAAAAACGGAAAATTAGGCACTCTGTGGGAGTTCCATACAGACGCGTTGGATTCTGCATACTAATATTTTCCTCAACTTAACACGCGCGACTGTCGCTCGGCGCGAGATGTATTAGGTGTTCCGGTTAGTTTTGAGGGATTTTTTGCAAAAGAAACACGTTTATTTTTGAGAGACGTTAAATATATTTATTAAATATTATATTTTATTCAAAATATTTTTTATCGCTAGTTATAACTTTTTCCACTTTTCGGGCAACAAGTGAATTCCGCGATAAAAAAAATATTCGTCCTTCGAAGCAATCCACTCATCGAGCCATTTTTGTATTTCTTCATGATTTTTGAGGTGAAGTTTTGAAGTGAAGTTTGAAGTGCTGGTCAGCAAAACTGTGCTGCATAGATCGAAATAATCGGCAAAAAAAGCACAGGTGAAAACGCGACGTGTGATAGGACCTCTTATTGTAGTGCCGATAATGTATCCTTAACTAATTTTGCAACGTGCGGTCGAGCATTGTCGTGCAACAAAATCACTTTGCGTTTTCTTTGAGCTATTATTGGACATTTTTGGTTCAAAGCATGATTCAAATCGATTAATTGTTGTTGGTAACGCATAGCAGTGACTGATTCAGTTGTAGCAACTCATAAAACACGACGCCTTTCATGTCCCACCGATTGCACAATAAAACTTTATTTCCGTGAATGTTGCGTTTTGGAGTTGATGTCGATGGTTGGCCTGGACTTATCCAGGATTTTTTACACTTAGGATTATCACAGTAGATCCATTTCTCATCTCCAGTTATAATTTGATACAAGAACTGCTTCTTCTTGTCACGAGAAAGCAATGAAGTGCAAATGGTTAGACGATTTTGAATAACCAATCCAGACAATGCATGTAGAACCCATTTGTTTTTTTTTTGAATCTTCCTCATCGCATGTAAATGATTTGAAACGGTTGATTTAGCAACGTTTAATGCTTCAGCTAGTTCTTGAAGCGTTTGAGCCGAGTTTTCATTCCATAATGTCTGCAATTCGGCATCTTCAAAATTTTTGGTTGACCTGAACGTTCTTTATTTTTCAAATCGAAATCACCGCGCCGAAATCGCCAATACCAGTATTCGCATGTTTTAATCGATGGAGAAAAGTCAGAATAAGTTTCTGAGATGAATCGGTGGGCTTCATCAGCCGTTTCCTTCGAATCGAAACAATAAAACACAAAATGTCAAAAATGCTCTTTACCACGCTCCATTTTCAATCGCACAAAAAGTTTATGATTATGTTCACGAATGCACATGCCATGTGTCAAATTATTTGTAGAAATGTCCAAGCTCTAAAATGGCGTGTCAACTTTCAAAATGTCTCAAGTAGATTTGTAGTTTCAGCCATTTATAGTGAACCCTCAAAACTAACCGGAATACCTAATATTAGATAAATCGGAAAGTTCCATCCATCTAGCGGCAAGCTACGTAGCTATAGCTAGAACTGTCGAGTTAACCTCTAATGTCTAAACGAAGCTTAATGGTTTGTTTTGATATCTGTCAATAATATTCAGTACATAAAGGTATACAGGTTTGCATCAATAACATTATTTATTACTGTATCGAAAATGTCCAAATTTGAGCCAAATAAGCGTAATTTGCGCGAAGTGTTAATCTTTTGCTTCAATTGGAAGAAAACTGCAGCTGAAACTCATCGAATACTTGTAGAAGTTTATGGTGATAAGGCTCCTCCCGTTAAAACATGCAGAGAATAATTTCGATGCTTTAAAAGTGGTGATTTTTATATGGAGGACAAAGAGCGTTCTGAACGGCCAAGAGTATTCGAAGATGAAGAATTGCAGGTATTGGTGGACGAAGACCCATGTCAAACGCAAAAGCAACTTGCAAAAGGATTAAATTGTACTCGATCTGTCATTTCCGATCGTTTGAAAGCCTTAAGAAAGGTTTACAAGGAAGGAAAATGGATTCCGTACTGAACTGAAGCCAAGAGACATTGAAAGGCGAAAAATCACCTGCGAAATTCTGCTTGTTAGGCAACAAAGAAAGGAGTTTTTACATCGTATCATCACATGGGGATGAAAAATGGATTTATTTTGACAACCTCAAACGTCGAAAAACTATTTGCGATCCCGGCTAACCCTTAACATCGATACCAAAGCGGAATATCCACGGAAAGAAGGCAATGCTCTGTATTTGGTGGGATCAGAAGGGTGTGCTATACCATGAGCTGTTGAAAAGTGATCAAACAGTCACAGAGAATCTCTACAGAGAACAAATGATCCGTTTGAGCCGAGCATTGCACGAACAACGACTAGAATATGAAACGAGACAGCATAAAGTGATTTTGCTTCATGACAACGCTCGGCCTCACGTCACAAAATCTGTCAAGGAAACGTTAGAAGCACTTCGCTGGGAAGTGTTACCCCATACGGCTTATTCAGCAGACTGTGCCCCTTCCGACTACCACTTGTTTCGGTCGATGGCACACGCACTTGCTGACGAATGTTTCAATTCTTATGAAGACGTTGAAAAATGGGTCTCTGACTGGATAGTTTCCAAAGATGAGTCATTCTTTCGCCGCGGAACCGGCGCTTGCTGACCGAAAGATGGAAAAAAGTCGCTAACGATGGACAATACTTTGACTGATGTACTTTTTCATTTTGTTTCTTAAATAAAACCATACGTTTTGCAAAAAAACGGACGGAACTTTCCGATTACCCTAAAACATGACGATTCGTTTCCGCAACTTACTATTTATCGCACTTACTTTTCCCGATTAACTCTTCTTCTTTCGAAGTAACTCGATTCCTCTGATTGTGTAACAAAGTCTTGCAGATGCCTCGCGCTCCGTTATCGCGCAGATCCTTCTCGAAATCCGCACTTTTGGAAGGATTCGCCGTAAATTAGCTTCGTAATCAGGCACCGTGGCTGCTCGCCGTAATTATTACTGGGCCACGGTGGAACGAACGATGCTTCGTTACGATCTCCCGGAGATCGTGTCGAAATAACAAGGTAACCACCGGTTAACCCCGTTATCGCGCGGCTGGGGTTTATGGGGTCCCGCGTCGCTGACAAGCGAGCCCCATGGCGCGAGTATATCACGCCGCCGCGCAGTTATGTTTCAGCGAGGTTATTCTGCAGGTGTATATTCCAGGGGTGGAACGCGCCCTGCCTGGATATTAATTGGCTTCCGATCTACACGCCGAGATCGCACCCCCGTCATCCCCTACGCGTGCCATCAGTCCCGTTACGGGCGTATACAGGGTGTTCGATCACCGCTGCCTGCCCTAACCACACATTCCTTGAGGAATATGCGTGTCGATATTGGGGAGTTTATTATAAATACACAGAGGTGCATTTAGCTTGTATCCAGACGTGCGATATAGCCTCCGTAGAAAGAGAACAAAAGACAAGAAAGAGAAAGAAAGAGATTATGGGCTGATACATCTCGTATTTAAAAACTCATGTACGTGAAAAACCGGTTTTTAAGTGTGCGTGAACTGAGTTTTAAATGTTAAATTTGGAATTTTGCTTAAAAGAAGTTTCATAGAGGTAACATTTCGTAAAATGCATCTCAGCTATCGCGAAAAATAAATATAGACGGAGTCGAATCACTCTGTACATCTCCGCAAAGTTTCAGAATCTTTTTTAATCTAGTCTGTTGCCCCAAAATTCTCTTATCGATGCGAGTAAACGCGAACGTGAAATTGTCCGATCGACTGACCGGCAGACAGACAGACAGACCAACAGGCAGAAAGACAGGAGTCACTCACCTTGTAGATCTCGTCGACGAGCCTGGTGAGTTCCTCGGTCTCCATGATGGCCTTCCAGATGAAAACTCCGCTTTTCCCGACTTCACGAGGTGCTCATATTTTCCTGTCCTCCCGAGACCGGATCTCACGTGGCCGCTCCACTTTCGCGAACTCGATCGCGACACTCGTTCCGTTCCGTTCGATATACCGCGTCGGCTCGATCTGGAATGCATAAGGAAAATCGGAAATTAGATGCGCTAATTTGTAATTGCGTGGACGTTCGTTAAAATAAACATATGCGTGCGTGTGACGTGTACGCGAAAACGGGTACGTTAATTAAACAAGTAAACGGTGAAATAGTTTCGGAGCCTATCGACACCGGCTTTTTAGACCGTTGTTAAAATTAATAATGGGTAATAAAGAAAAATGAAATTTCTGCTGTGACGTGTGTACGTTGTAACATTTACGCTGATATTTCCTTAAATTAAATTAATATTTAACAATCAAGCCCTCATGAAACTTGGATATGCGAAACTGTGCGAATTCACAAGTCTTCCATGTATTAATTGCTAATAAAACAAAAGTCGCGCTAAAGACAAACACGACAGTTACAATGCAATCGTTAGGTTTAATTAACATTTTCTTCAATTAAATTCGTACGTATTTATACCGGTATACGAATGCATGAATATTTCAATGCACAAACGCGCGTGGGTTTGTGCATTCGAGAGATATTCGACTTCACTGTTATTTCTCCCCGCGAATCAACTCGGCTATTTATCTATTACTACATTTTTATGATAATGATCTCTGGCAGAAAAGCGCATTCCTCTATTGATTGTGACCAGCCGGCATCGCTGGAATCTCGCTGGAAACACCACCTGGGCTAAGCACAGGCTAAGCATTACTCATACGTGGAACGAGAGGTCACGTTTTCAAAGTACTTTCATTCCGCAAGGACACCCGGTATGCGCGCGAGCGGCTATGGGAGAGCCGCATAACTTCGCCGCTTCTATTTCTCGACGCGGATCTACGAGTCGCGCGGCAAGGTGTTCACGGATCGAGAATCGAGAAATTTACTGGATCTCTATCCGATTCAAGTGCGATTCCAAGCCGCGCGAATTCAGTCTATCGAACTCGTCGAACTCTCGTGTGAGCGGGGTGTGATCTCGAGCACTACATTTTCTCAAAATCTTGTCGGGTATTTCGTGGAGAAATACTAATACATCTCTAACTCTATAATGACAGAGTAATATACCGAAAAAAAATTAATTTCAGAACGAGCGGATTCATCTAAGTTTTAGAGAATTTTACTCTCATATATGGCCTCAAGAGGATTCCTCTAAGATTAAGAGGGAAATATTATAAACACATTATTCTTAAAGTTAGAGGGATTATATGTTATATGTATAATGCAAATCTTATTGATTTTAATATAAATTTCCTCTTACATACACAGATTATTTAACCTTTTTTTAAGAGGATTATTATTTATTCTTACTGTACTTTATTCTTACTGGTGTTACACTGGTTAATTTGAAAAAATTATAATGTATAAGCGAAAAGTAATCTATATGTAGATGTACTTCTGGCTCCAGTTCTACAATAAGTAGGCACGAATGGAATAAAATCATCATAACAAATAAATTTCCAATCAGTTTTCTTTTGGACTTCATAGCTACAAAGATATTTATTATAAACAATTGTATGAAACATAGTTAAAAGAAAGAATATATTATTCAACTTCTTACAATAGATTATAAACCGTATTTGACCAAATATGGGTAAATTATCTTCGTTATATGTTACAGTAATACACATATCTTCTTTAAAAAACCGTTCCAAATATTCTGATCTATGAACATATGGTTATTTTCTCGTTCATGTTTGGAGGTAAAAAATGACCGAACAAAATAAGCGAACATCCAAATTAATATATTCCTCTTCATATAAAAGAACAATTAATTGATATAAGAAGAAATTCTCTTGAAATAAGAGGAAAACAGTTGGAATAATATCTAATAAATTTTAGATGAATGCTTCACTTTAATCGCTTTATCGAAAGAGGAATCCTTTTTCTGTAAAAGGCTTCGCTTAGAATATGAGACTATAGAAAAAATCACAATCTTTACAAATGAAATACTTTTTTTGGGTGTAAATTTTTAATAACTTTCTAATAAATTTTTAATAATAATCGTTATTCCTATCACCACACAGTAAGATCACACACACTTCTAGTGTTAACAGAAATTTAATAACGTATCAGTAATTTAGTAATCGTATGTTACTGTCTGTTCAAATGTTCACTTGGCGATTTTTTACTCCGGCAAAGACGAGAAGATTCTTAATTTTTATACGCGACGAGAGAAAGAGATAGAGAAGTGCTCAAGTATAATTTGTAACTCACACCGATAAATTTGTGCAATAATTGAAAAGAAAACGCCGTTACCAATGGTAAATGCCACAGTACGATAATTGCAGTTGCATGCGACGTTGACGTCACGACGGTAACGGACGGTGATTGTGAGAGTGTCACGTGCGAAATGCAACGGAAAAGTGAATCGGTGACTGTAAGCGAAATATCAATCGCCGCGACTCGCGTAGCGTGTGTAACATAATAGCTCGATTAATAATAAAGCCACTGCCGCCGCCGCTCGACGACTCACCGTAACGTCCAGACCGAGCGCGTGCTTAATTAATAAATTTACATTTCATAAATTAATCCGTGAACACGCGCACGCGCGCGCGCGTGAGAGAGAGAGAGAGAGAGAGATAAAGAAACTGCGAATTCACAAAGTTCGCTGGACTGTTTAGGCTTTGTTCATAATCCCGACGACCCGAGTAATTTGTCAATTTGCCATCCGTTATTCTTTTACGTTTCATATAAATTGACATCGCGGACAATTCCTTCGCCGCGGGCGATTGTTTAAAATCCCTCGTAACAGGATCATTTGTATGTTACGCGCAAAATTTCTCCGTCGGTACAAATTTTCCGATGTGACGAAGCGGCACAAATAACTCACACGGAGCGCGCTTTCCCAAACGTGCTAACCTGAACATAGCGAAAAAAGATGTTATAATTTTTTTTACAGATGAAATGGCATTATAAATGTCTCATCAGACAGCAGAATCCCAGAAGTGCAGAAAGCGAATGAAAGTCTCGTAAGTATGGGGATACTCTGTTATACGAATTATCAATCCATTCGAAATGTGTAATCAAACGATATCCTGATTCGATGAACGAAATGCGGCGGATATCGGCGGGACACTCGTTCCAATCGTTAAATCGCAACGATCGATGCGATGCGATACGACGCGGTACGATGCATGCGTGCGTGTTCGCGTGCGTATACGATTCGATCGCGATCGCAACGCGGAGCGGAAGATTCGATTAAACGATGAAAGCGGCGCAAAATTCGCCGCGGCCTATCGAAAGCGCGCGTTTCTCGCGCGCTCTTCCCTCTCTCGCTCTCTCTCTCTCTCTCTCTCTTTCCCTCCCCCCCATCTCTCTCTTCCTCCCTGTGTCTCCCTCTTTCTCTTTCTCCCATTCGCGAATTCGCTCGTTCGCGAATTTCGTCGATGCAACTTTGCAAACGCTCACGCGCTTGCTCGCACGGTCCCCCGAAAGCTTTCAAGCG